TTTACTGCTCTTTGTGGATTTACGCAACTCAATTCACCAAGATGTCAGCAGACGTTTGATGATTTGTCACGACTGATCACAGTTTTAAAAGTGTGCTCCACTTTCTTTCCCACCTTAACTATATTTACCATATTATGTGTTGTCATCCATGTATACATTTTGCCATGATGGAGGGTCCTCTACACTCCTGTGCAGAGAATAACACAGATGTATTCATATGTGTTATTGTTTTAAACCTAATTATTAACATTTTGTGTTTAAGTGTTTCCAGTTCATTACAGACTTCCTGGTGCTTTTTTTAATCAGGTATCACGACCATAGTGTTAAATTCCTGCTTATTACACAGAAACCGCCACAGGTGTCGTTACTATTCTTTAAGTGTGCTTTAAAAGGTTATTACATAGTTATAAATGTGTTATTAGATAGAAACAAGTGGTTTTGCAGCTGTTTCCTTCTTATTACATGGAAACTACCTGAGATATTTCCAGGTAATAACCACACTCCTTTAAGTTAGCTTTAACAGGTTATTAATGTGTTATTAAATGGAAACAGGCGGTTTGGCATTTTGTTTCCTGCTTTTTATATAGAAACTACCACTGGTAATTGAGTGGTAATAACTTAGAAATTACCACATTATTACACTCTTATTTTGTCCTTGTTACCCTACTATTACTGCTTTATTACCGAGCCATATTTCCACATTATTACACCCAATTTTTGGGGCTCTTATTATCCTATTACATAAATTTCAGGGTAATAATACTCAACTGTAACCATTGTTGCTACCTTGATATTACTTGGATATTACATGGTTATTACTTTGGATATTAAAACTTAGAAATGCTACATTATTACCCTCTTGTTTCCCCCTTGTTACCCTACTGTTACCCCTTTATTACCGAGCTGTATTATAATATAAATATAATCTAAGCTTTTGAACCGCTCATCTCAGAGAAGAGAAAGGAACAAACAACGTATCACCTGATGTCCAGCCATATCTTACCATCTATCTATGTGGCTTTTCCACATACGTGATTCTGGAATCATGACATCATTATATTTTCTCATTCATTGTATTGGTTAAACTCATATCTGATTATATTCTGATCAGTATTAAGCATAATTAAACTGTCATTAAAACCCTTAGTACCATTTCTCTTTCCCAGAATCTTTCAGAACATAATTTTGGGCTGGCAGCACATTTCTTATCTTTCACATTCCTGCAGCCACGCACAGATACTCATCTACTGAGGCTGCAGCTACTCAGCTCATGTCTCAGCTAACATATTAATCAGACTTAAACTTTGATTTATATCTTTGATTGAGAATAAAGATGACTCACTATAAGCAAAGCACATAGATAAGCTCTGTTATAGAGTTGTTATGACTATGATACTTGTCGTTGGCTCGCTGTGTGTGAGACAGGCGTGTGGAGAGGGGCACGGCTGCCCATCATCATGCATGATTGTGGCTTCTGTATGGACAAACTACCATACAGGCCATTTTAGAATACTTTCGGGATGCGCTGTTTATTCAGTGATGGACTGCTTCTTAAATAGTACCTTTCTACATAAGCGAAGCACTTAAAATGCTTCCCATAACACACATTCCCATTGCACCTTTATGTATGCCCAAACTCTTTGTGTCACATTCACACGCTCACATGTCAGCGAGTACATCAACGGCAATTTAGGGATCAATATATTGCCCAAGAACATGGGGCAGCGATTGATCCGCTCAGAGCAACACAGGAAAGATCAAGTCAGCCGTGGGTCAATCCTACAATCTTCAATATCCATTGTGTCACATTATCCCATATGTAAAGAAGAGTACCTGGCTCTCCAGCGTCCATAGGTGGTGTCTCAGGTTCTTGGTTTGTTGACTGTTGTTTTGTATGAGAGTTTGGAAGCTTTCATAACCATGAGAACCATCATTGGACGTTTGCTCCTCTGATCTGGGGCGAGCCAGTGAAGCCTCCAGTGTGAAAACTGGAACCAAGAGAAAATGAACAAATATGTTT